TGTCCCACACCTCGCTTATCCAGTTTTCCCTTTCTCCATGATGCTGACACATCCAATACATATCATGCTCTTAAAACTGAACTTTCATCAGCAACTATTTAGCCACAAGAATGACAATGACCTATTGAAGTGGAGCAGGCTGGTATCCATTGCACAAGTGAGCTGTGATAAGTGATTGCAGTCCAAAGCCATCGATAGAGTCAAGCTTCACTAAGCTCAACTCAGGCCTCCTGCTTTTCCCTTTTTCCCCTTAGAATAATCAATAGTATCATACTTGTACTCCTCTGTGTTTGTGGGCCTGAAGAGCATATGGAGAAAGAAGCCAGCTCTGTATAACAGCACTAGAAAACATTGTGCCAGAAGACAGATTTCATGTGTTGAGGGGTTTGAAGCAATGAATTCTGTACAAAATATGACATCGAGGTGAAGATGAGTCGTTCCACTGCCATAACACAGGAGGGAGAGGGAGCCGGAGCGAGCAAAGCAGCAAAGGCATTCAGCAGCAATTTGCCCTCTGATGATTAGGCTTTTAGGCCAGAGGAGCTCTGCTACTTAAGCAGAGGATGCGACACATTTAGCTGTTGCTTAGAGATACTGGAATATATTGGCCAGAGCCTGCCCCTGGGTGAGCATCCCTGAAGGGTTCAGCGCTGCTTTCCCAGGGCTGTGTCACAGCCCTACTGCATCTGCGCTGTTTGCAAAGCCTCAGAGCTTTCAAAGCAGGTCAAGCAGTGACAGAAACGGGGGCTCTTGACAGGTCAGATGTCATTAATCAAAGTGACAACTCGTAGTACCTGGAAGTGGCACAGACACAAAGGGATTTAAGCAGCTGTATAATAAGCAGTTAGTAGCACTTAAATAACATCTAGCTCCTGCATGGGATGCTGATGGGTTACAGCACTGGATTACACATGTATCCTAACACAGCCCTTGTCTGTCGCCAACACAGTGGGGATAGGGACCCAGGAGAAAAGCAGAGCTCTACCTGCCGACTCACACCCCTTTCTCTTCCACCCCATTAGAGCGACTACCACCCTTGTATTTCTCTTTCACTCCAGTCCTTTTAAACTAGGATTCCTCCTCTGGAGCAAGGCTGTTTGAAGCCGGACCAAGAGGGAAATGAAGGTGTTTAAAGAAGCTGCTGTTTAAAGTGTTCCTTCTGCACTCTAGGTTTCATGGATACATATAAATTGCAGTGAGAACGACACCATGTCCTTGCTCTTACAGTCCCCAGGTAAAGTGGCAGGGCTCTGTTCATCAGCACACAGGCACTCCAACACCATGGGCCCCATGGGGCTGGGGATGTCCAGGGTCTCCAGAAGCTGCTGGGAATGAGCTGACCCATCGCAGGAGCTTCCCAACCTCCTTCCTGGCTTGCAGGAAGGGAACAAACAGTTCCAGCTGCCCACCATCACCCCCCCGCCCCGTGCTACAGCTTTCATTCCCCATCACCTCTGGTCTGAGGAAATTACACAGCATTTGCCTTGATTGCTCCCCTGCAGAGGCAGAGATGGGGCAGTCATTGATACGTCTCTTGCCTGACAAAAACACGCCAGTTATAAGTGAGACTCAGGACTCCGATTTTCTTTCGAGCACTTCCAGTACCACTTTGCCTTCCCTGCAGCCTGTCAGCCGTGTCCCGGCTGCTGCATCCACTGCAGTGGTTATCACCATCCAAAGGCACTGTCCCCAACGAGGTGCAAGGGGCTGCTGCAGCTTAGCGTGCCAGGCAGCCCTGATGCCGCCCCAAGCACTGCCAGCACCACAGTTATCCGTAGCTCCAGGATGATGGATGGCCTTTGTCTGGAGGCAGCAGCCCATCAGCTTTATGAAGGCAATAAAGCACCATTGATTCAGCATCACAAGGGATTTCCCTCCCTCACATACCACCTTTTCTCTCTGTTTGCACAGCTGACTCGAGCTGCATAGGGTGAACACGGGTTTCAAAAGGCAAAGTCCACCTCCGTGGGGTAGATTTGCCTGGAATAGAAACTGTCCCTCTTGTGCTGTGCTGGCAATGGAGCTGCTCACACAAGAATAAGTTCAAGTAGCCCAGAGGGAAAACACAGCTCGTGTCCTTTGGAACAGCAGCTTCAAACTAGGGCTTGATTTTCCAGGGCTTTGTGCCACCGTCTACAATCAAGTGTAAAGGACACCAAGCCAGAGAAAACAAGATGAATAAAGCATCCCCTGCAGGCACTCTGTTTCTCATCATGCCGCTGCACACAGTGTGACCGGGCATCAGCTCTGGTCCGACCCAGAACAGACACAAGGGGAAGATTTTCTCATCGCTGATGGACGTTCTGCTGCTGCAAAGGGATTTCACGGGTGGATTTAGTTCTGTTTGTAATTGTCCTCCCCAAAGCAGGTGAGTTTGACTGCGAAGCTGGCAAAGGAATGAGGCGCGAGCGCAGCTTAAAGCAGGCGCTGGGAAATTGTCTGGGGATAGAAAAGAAATCAAAGCCCCCCTGCTCACAGCATCTCTGACAAGGTTGTTTCAATCAAGCACATCCTAGCCTATGGATAATGAGAAGGCAGCCAGGGAGGGATGTAGCCCCAGCTACATCCATATACATAGCCCACCCTGCAGCCCTCAGGTCCCATCTCCTTATGAGCATGTCCCTAAACACACAGCACCCAGGCACAGGGCCACAATTCCAATATAACATCGCTTAGGGAGTGAAAGGACAGCTTTTAATCTCTCCCATGGACCCAAGAGATGTGCTTTACGCTGAAAACCGGAAAGCCACAAATGCAGCATGCTTTTACCCCCTTTTGCTGTGAGGAATAGTTTGAGATCAGTGAATTCACCATCACGTTCTACTGAAGTTCTCCGTGTTCCAGTATTTTCTTCTCTTTGACAAAGACAACAGTGGCTGCTGGAAAGCTGCCTTCCCCCTGCAGATGTGTCATAACCTCACTTCCCTTACAGCTGCTTACAAGCTCTGCCAGCTCTCCCAAAACAGGCAAGAGGATGGTGAAGCAATATCATCACATCATCCCTATACATCTTCTTGGGCAATCTTTAAAGTCCATTGCATTTTGCTCAGGCATAAGCACTGGCTGAGATACAGAAAATACCTGCAAGAGTTGTACATGGGGCATAAAAAGCCTGCTGAAAACTCAGTTGTAACCATGGCCTAAAGGAGGTACCTCCCTGAGTGCAATGAAGTGTTTGGCTCCCACCCATTCACTGCCAGAACAGGGTAAACGCCTGCAGAAGAGGAGCAGAGTCAAGGGCGGCTCTTGGCTACAGGGCTCATGCAGAGGAGCCGACCTACTCGGTTGAATGCCCCATCAGACACAACGCTCTTGCTCTGCCTGGTGTAGAAACAACGCTCAGGCAAGCCGCAGGTGGGAAATGCATTTAAAAGACCACAAGAGGATCGAAAGACCTTTGTTTCCTTTCCCTCTTGCTACAGGGACACAAAGGTAAAGTGAGCTTCCCCTGTTGCTCGTTTTGTTCTATAACCTGGGGTCCAGCTTCGCAGGACTCCTGCATCTCACGATGCGCATCCAAAGGATTCAGTTTCATTTCCAAAGCTGGACCAGAGACCCAGCTGGGAAAAAAACAGCCGAGCCCCCCCCCAAGCAGCTGAAACCAGCACAGATCTGGCAAGGTACAGCTGCTTATTTGTTCATTTTGAGCGCTGCAATGTTGTGTACCCTCCTCCCGCTCCCTCCCCCTGTACACATTTGCGCATCTCCCTTTGTTAAACCAGCCAGTGCTCCCCGTAGCAGCAGTTTAACCCCCCCCTCCCCTCCTCTTCCCACCCATCCACAGCTTGCCAGCCCTGGGTGCTGCTGTGCCCCTCAGCATCTCCCTCATTCCTGAGGAGCACAGCCCTGCAGCACCAGCTGCTCCCCAGCATCACCCGATTGACTATTTAAATAGCCCTGCAGAGAGAAAAACTTTTCCCCCCTCCCTTCCCTGCTGTGAACAAGTGCTGATTGCTCAGGCAGGCAGCGCACACGCAGAGCCACCGTCTTGATGTGATCACAGAGCCGGGGACCGGCAGCATCCCAGGGACCCTTCTCCAACTCGGAGCAGAGGGAAGAGGCTCAGCAGTGCCAAGCAGCGGGTACCGGAGGAGCGGGGGCAACGGGAGCCGCTCAGCAGGTAATGGGCTCTTCAACCCTCTCTTCCCAAGGCTTGTGGTCCTGCTCACTTCAGTGCCGTGTGACAACAGAACGCGAGAGGAGGGAGGCATCGCCCTTGGCAGAGCCTGGGGACCAGCTGCCAAATCTTCGATCGTCGCAGGGGGTTGGGTTGCTCCTTCACTTCCCTGCGGAGGAATCCTTGGAAGCGTGGGGCAGGCGATAGCGGTGGATGTGGTAGCTGCTACAGGTGGGGTAATGCTTGCTTTGACTTTAAAGCGGGTTTGCTTTCAGGGCACTTCTCCCCCCCCCCCCCCCCCCTAAATAATCCTGAACTTTTGGGATTTCCAGGTGTGTCCGCCCCATCTGTGCCATGTTCTATGGGCTGCCACAGCAACTTGCAGTGGGGATGGACTTCATTTTGAATAAGATCATGACCATGTTGCTTTAAGAATTACTTAAACTACAGGTTAAGCCCCTTTAACCTTTAGCTTGGAAACACTCCTTGAACTCTATTTCCCCCCCCTCCTTCTTTTCCAGGGGACCTTGGGAGCGTCAGGAACTTCACTGTGAAATCTCAGTCAATGCAAGGAGTGGGAACGCGACACAAAGGCACTAATTAAACACTGCAACGCTGCTGCTCCGGCATGGAAAAGCGAGCGCTGTGGAAGTGAAAGAGCATCCGCCCCTTCAGACCTCCTGTGAATAGCAGACCGGGTGCAAAGCTCCCTCCCTGCCCTCCTTGTTCCTGCAGACCCAGGAGGACTCCTGCTGCAGACGGTTCCACTGGAGCCGCTTGACTTCCCCAGCAAAGAAAAGCCAAAGCTCACCGGGATGCTCTTCAAGTTCCTTGACTGATGGCAGGAGTTTTAATCCTCATTTCTTTCATTCATGGAGTGTGTTTCAATAGGGCTTTTTCCTCCTGACCACTTCAAGTTCTGACTTCTCCAATGGTGGGTGACAGCAGAGGTAAGTTGTATGGCCCATGCTGCCTCACAACCCACTCCTTGGAAGTCATCCACTTCTCAATGGAGTAGCAGCTGCTTCTCATGCAAGAAGAGGCTCTCTTCTGGGCTAGCGAGGCTTTTAATGACCACCCAGGGTGGTTTATGACCAGGAGGCATGGGAAACAGCTCTCTTTGGGACGATCCGAACAGCACCTGCAGCAATGCAGGCAACAGCTGCTACCTGGACAACAGCATGAGCTTCAACTTAACCTTCCAAGAGCAGGCAGCCGATTTCTACGTTGTCCTCCCCGTGATTTACTCCGTGATCTGCGCTGTTGGGCTCACAGGCAACACTGCCGTCATCTACGTGATCCTCAAGGCCCCCAAGATGAAGACTGTGACAAACATGTTCATCCTGAACCTTGCTATAGCTGATGACTTGTTCACACTTGTCCTGCCCATTAATATTGCTGAACACCTCCTTCACTACTGGCCCTTTGGAGAAGTCCTCTGCAAGGTCATCTTGTCCATAGACCACTACAATATCTTCTCCAGCATTTACTTCCTGACAGTGATGAGCATAGACAGGTACCTGGTTGTCCTGGCTACAGTCAGGTCCAAAAGGATGCCACATCGCACATACCGAGCAGCCAGGATTGTCAGTTTGTGCATCTGGATCCTAGTCACCATCATAGTTCTCCCTTTCATCATCTTTGCCAATGTCTACATAGATGACCTGGAGATCAAGAGTTGTGGTCTCAACTTCCCCAAGCCCGAAAGGTTCTGGTTCAAAGCCAGCAGGATCTATACCCTCATCCTTGGCTTTGCCATTCCAGTATCCACCATCTGCATCCTCTACACCATGATGCTCTACAAGCTAAGGAACATGCACTTGAACTCTAATGCTAAAGCCCTGGACAAAGCCAAGAAGAAAGTCACTATCATGGTCTTCATAGTCCTGGCCGTGTGTCTCTTCTGTTGGACCCCCTTCCACTTGGCCACCATTGTGGCTTTGACCACTGACTTGCCCCAGACCTCCATGGTCATTGGCATATCCTACTTCATCACCAGCCTAAGCTATGCCAACTCCTGCCTGAACCCCTTCCTGTACGCTTTCCTGGATGACAGCTTCCGGAAGAGTTTCCGGAAGATGCTGGAATGCAGAACTTCCTGAACAACGGATTGAGGCCCAGATCCCCTCCCTCCCATGGCTTTGAAGGGCAGCTTCGCAGACTAAGGGGTGGTCAATGAACGCACAGTGTTCTTTCTTTCATTTACATGTAATGGATGTGTCTGTGTCATTACCACTCACATGGTTTGTCCTGCTTACTTGCAGCTCTTGCCTTTTCCCTCTCTGTACCTCCCAATGTCTCAAAGCACCATTTCTACAGTGTTAGTTTTAATCTCACACTCTGAAGCGTTAAGGGCAGGAAAGGTCCTTTTCAGAGGCACATCTACTGCACTGTGGTCCTTTATTGCCATCTGCTGTACAGCACAGACAAGCTGGAGAAGGGTTCTCAGACTAATATCATGCTCAGTCCTTAACAGCTGTTGTGCAGAGGATTGCTCCATGGAGCAGAGCTAATGAGCACTTCCGATGGAACATCAATAAACCGGACAGAGGATGCCAGATGGGTATTTGGACAACAAACCATTTTCACATCCACGTACGTGCGTATGTGTGTTAGGGCTTTGATTTTGAGGGATGTCTGGTTTCCACCCCAAATTCCCTCATTCCTGAGCTGTTAACACGAGTGGAATTTAAACCAAAAGCAAGACTGGGGTCTTGTGTGTTAAACACCATAAAAATACTAGGGAATGCGTGTTAGAAATTATTTTTAACTCCTTGTTCCTGTTAAGTGTCAAATATCTATTTATTTAAGAGTGAATAATGAAATAAACCTCACGAGAAAAAGAGAGACTGGTTCTTATTTCACCAGAGAAAACTGATGCTGCGTGACCCATGCCTTTGCTATGTATTACAGTCTACCTACTGTAAAATGCTATAGTCATAGAACAGTAACAAAATTAAGGTGTTCTGGAAGCCACAGCTCCAGCAAGAACTGCAGTGACTGCTCCTTCTCTAACAGGTAAAGAGCAAAAGCACATCAACAGAACCAGGACCTGAAAGGAAGAATCACAAACACCGTACTGAAAGCTTCAAGGACCACTAGACCCATGGTGGCAGAGGTGAGCAGGGCTCATCGCACTGCAGGGTACATGTTACTGGTTTAAGGAAGGCTGTCTCAGCTAACACTTTTCTCTCCAGCTTCCCCCAGGTCCACAAGCACCAAACTGGGCTCTTTTCTGCCCAAATTTCACCAGGAAAACACAGAAATAAGTAAAACATGGGGCTACAGACAGGTCTAGACAGCAGCTGTATCACACATACCAAAGACAAGCTACCTGCAGCAGTCATCCAAAGTCCATCCAGAAAACGGAGCTGGAGATAGGACCTGCAATATGAGGCCAAAATCCATGCAGGAGGCAGTCCTGGAAGCAAGGGTCCCTCCAAGACAGCTGGGTTGGAAGGTGCAGGGCTCATCTTAAATAGCCTCCTGGAGCAATGGGTGAGGGTGAGACACCAGGTGAGGCCTCTCAGGGCAATCAAAACCTACCAGTGCCCCCAGACACCAAAACTGACCTTCAATACAGCAGCATGGCGATGTGCTTCTTCCCCTTTGGGAAGCTGGAAGAGATTTGTGCATACACCATCACTTGTGCAGCCTTCCCCATATTGAAGGGGTTAACTTTGGAATCAAAATGAAGGAGGCATTCCTCCACATTGAAACTTGCCCAGGAATTTTTGATGCCAAATGTAACATTGCCTTGTTGTAATGATTGAGAGCTGGAACCTCAGTCTCAGCCAGCCTCACAGAGAGCAAACCACAGTGGTGGGACCTTAATCTATCATCTCAAACCCCAGGTTTAGTGCCCACTGAGCCAAGTTTCATGGTTCTTCTCTATTTCCCATCAGCTCCACCTTGCAGCTACCAGCAAACCATGTGGAAGGTGTCCCTGCCCATGGCAGGGGGTTGGAACTGGATGAGCTTTAAGGTCCCTTCCAACCCAAGCCATTCCGTGGTTGTATCACCTGTAATTCTATGAAACACAAGGATTATTCAAAGCCTGGTCCTGGCAGTGTGTGCGTGTTTGCACATGGAGGTGTGTGGAGTGATGCTTAGCAAGCCCCAGCCACAAGAGGAGCGACAGGGAGGGAAGAGATCAGCTCTAATCAGAAGGTGCTAATGGCTCTCAAGAGGTATCTACTGACCCAAGGACTTTGGGGAAAAGGAGGAACACCTGGCAAATAGGGGACCGAGGACCATATGGGTGGTTAATTCCGGAAGGAAAGCTGGGTGCTGTGGTCCCGGCTGACCTTTATGGGGAAGGAGGCAGGTCCAGCAGCACATGAGGGATGCAGAGGTGTTGCATGACCCCCCTTGGAGCAGACCAGGGGGCTGAGCCAGCCTGCGTGGAGGGGGTACCCACTGCTTTAGCAGCATTGCCACCTGCTGGCAACGGGCTTCCCACATGGAAAAACATCAGTGCAGAAAACTGCCTCAAAGGATGCCACCTCCCCCAAACTGTCCAGTTAGGTCTGCAGGAAAGGCAATATGTTTTATCAGGTGGAAAACCTGATGTATTGCATTCAGTGGACTTTTCGAGGGTAAGTCACCCGTTCAGACCTGACATTATCCCAGTTAAATCAATGTCACGACTGTCACAGAGGGGCTGAGGTTGGAGATCCCCCAGTCCAACCCCTGCTCAAGCATGGTCACCTAGAGCAGACTGCCCAGGGCTGTGTCCGCTTGGGTTCGAATGTCTCTGAGGATGGAGATGTTACAGCCTCCTTGGACAGCCTGTTCCAGTCCTTCACCTCTCCCACAGTGATTTCCCCCCCCCCATGTTTAAATGCAATTCCCCATATTTCAGTTTGTGTCTCTTAAACACCAGTGAGATGAGTCTGGCTCCCTTTTCCCTGCACCCTCCATCAAGCATTTACAGGTATAGCTTATATCCCCGATCCCTCTCTCCGTGAGGATGAACATCCCCATCTCTCAGCATCTCCTCTTGCAGCAGCACCCTGCCTCCATCCGTGCTTAAATAAGATGCTCAGCTCTTCTTTGCTCTTGAGGGGTGCAAGGCGACACGGGGAGAAGAGATTTGCATTGGCCAGGGTCTCCCCTTGTGTTTAGAAAGGGCTCTGTCGCCCATGGGTGCCCCGAGCTAACCGGTGGGTCCTTGTGTTTCAGCCCGACGGCACTAAGCGGCACTCTCTGCTTTCAGCTCGGCATCGCTGGATCTTCACAGCGCTGCTCAGCCTCACACACAGGCTGGTGCCTGCAAACCTGCTGCAAACAGGGGCTGTCCGTGCCTGGGATGAACCCCTGAGCATGGCACCAGAGAGCAGAAACCACCTTTGAGGTGCTTGTCCGCACATCGCACAAGTTCACCCCAGGGAAACGCTGCGCACGGCTCCTCCGCTTGAGTTTCACTAGGGGCTGGTTTGCTGCCGATCGCAGCAGCACACATCAGCTGCATCCTGATGGCTGGAAGCAGGGAAATAAATCCCCTTAACGATCCACTGAATAAACCCCTGTCTAAACGAGCATCCCTTGCAGGGTCTGTGCGGTCCCGGGAGGCTGAATCAGGGATGCACACAGCTCCCTCCCATCCTAACCCCTCGCCAGCCTCCTGGGATGCCAGCTCAGCTGCAAAGCGGGGGCAATATCCTTCCGGGACAGTCCAGGATGGCTTAATGAGGGCAAAGGTGCTGGGTAACCTCGCAGCTCCTTGGTTACAGCAGGAGCTGAAGGCTTTCTGCTTGCTCCTGCCCACTGCAGCAAAGCTCCTGCATCCTCCTCTACGGGAAGTACATCGCCTTCTCTGCGGCTGCACCCATGGGGACCAACAGCCCCGGAGGACTCCGCTTCATCATCCCTGCGTGAGGGAGAAGAAGCCATTTTCCACCCCAGGAGTAGGAATTAGGGCTCATACAGGGCTCATATTCCCACCACAGGCTTTAAAGGCAGCTGAGATAAGAGGCAGGGATCGGAAATTGCTCTTGCTTTTTAAGTCTTTGTGCTGCAGCAAGTAATAAAGGTTGCTTCAATCAATTGTCCTCATCCGAGCTGTGCTGCAGCTTGTTCCCCCCTCCCGAAGCTGTAATCCCCTGGTACTTACACAGTCTCACACTGTCTCCTGCTGTTGGTCACGATTTCGGGTGAGAAAAGACATAATACCCCACTGAGGGATGCAGATCCGGCTCTCAGAAGCATCTTTAGATGAGGAAAAGAATAAAACCAAAAAGGGATTAAAAATGGATGAGCAAAACCTTGGAATAAAGAAGATACGAAGCAGAAGGGTCTCTAGAGGGGACTGTTGAAAGCAATTCAAGAGAGAGAATTTGTCCCTTTTCTGTACAGCCTGCACTTGCCTTGTCATCTGCGGGATGCTGAGAGCCCCTGGGTGTTATCTTGGTTGGGGATGATCAGTGCTAACATGCCATTGATGCTCCCCGTGTAAACCTGGGGAAATGGTGTCTCTCTGGCTTTACTGCTGTCTCTGGGAGAAACAAACCTGGTTTGGTGCTTCAGAGGGCCCCAGCACCCCAAGGTCCATAGAATCATGGAATACCGGGGCTTTGTAGAGCGGGGACCAAAACTGAACACAACACCCCAGGCCTGACAAGTACAGAGCAGAGCTGGATGGTGACATCTTTATCTCTGATGGTGATGCTCTTGTTGATGCAACCCAGCATCCTGTTGGCTTTCTTGGCCGCAGCAGGATCACGTCCACTCCAGTTGAGCTTGTGGTCCAAGGCTTGACATCCCCATCTGATGCTGAAGAGAAGGGGGCTCCCCAGGCTGGCTCCTGATCTCTCTTTCAGGACATCATCTGAGGACCCTCTGTGGGGACAGCAGCAGTGGCATCTCCCTCTCCCATGTCCAGGACAGACCATGGTCCCTTCCCATTTATACCACCTCTGCAGCTGATGCTGGACCCAGGGCTGTTTTTGGGGTGATAAAGCCTCGATCTAAGGCAGCAGTGAGGCCTCCAGAAGAGCTCCACACTTGCTGCCACCATAGGACACCAGACACCCTCCAAAGCCCCCATAATCTTTCCAAAGAAACCCCTCTTGTAAAGCCCCATTGCTGCACTCCTCTTCCCCCACCTCCCTTTTGCTGGGAAGGAGGAAGAGGAGTTAATTTAAAGGCGAACACCAAGAATAGGGACAGCAAACATTGCCAAGAGATGCTCGCTGGCATTTGTGTTTGGGAAGGGAAGATGCAGAGGGAAAGATCAAAGCTGTCTGAATAGCTTTTAATTACGAGCCTCAATTGCTCTGTTTTCTCTCGGAGAAGTACACAATTATCCAACAAAGCTCTCAGAGTGGAAAGAGACACAAGCCCGAAGCTTCAAGGGCTGTTTAGAGGCTATTTTCCCTTCCTAAACCATAATATTTGATGTCTAGATAAAAACCAGGCACTCCCACAAGTGCCTCCAGCCAAGGCTGCTGCTCACTGCATAGATGGAGAGGCTGGAAAGCTCCTCCTAAGGGGAGATGAGCAACCCGGGATGCACTGAAGGCGGAGGATGGCTCTAAAGCACCCACCTCAGTGTCCCCTGGCTGGCAGGGATGTGGGCTCTGGCACATCCACCAGCATCCCACTTGGGAAGGGGGAATTCCCAGCGAGGGGAAAGCAAACCATGGTATGGGAATAAGACCTTCAGTTGTCCCCATTGTCCGTTTTCCTGAGATGGAATTTCACCAGGACTCAGGCAGGTCTCCATCACCTCCCCTTCTCCTGCACATAGAGCAGAATAAGACACCTTGAGGGTTCCTAAGGTCCAAAGCATCCACCGCACAAAGCCCAACAGGCAGCTGACTATGGAAAGCAGAGGAACGAGGACTCGGTTTCATGAACTTACCCCTCAAATGAGATCAGAGGCTGGTAATTAATAGAGTCAGATTTCAGCGCAGTGGGAAACCTCCCTTGAGACTCAGCCCGCTGCTGCTCGGTATTGATGGAACGCTGTAGATGTAATTACACTTCTCTTAGCCATGCAATGGAGACAGAGGGCTCCTCCGTGCCATGGGTCACTCCTGGCTGAGCTCCTTCACCCATGCTGACCAGGAGCCAGGGATAGGGAAGGTCAGAGCCAGCGCATCCTACACCATCCCCATGGCATCACCAACACACACTCCTTGGGAGACAAGAGGCAGTTTTCCAGCTGAGCACATTGAAACTGAACCCCAGTGCCGATGCCAAAGCAAACTGGAGGGAGATCAGCCCTGGCCCGCTTTCCATACCCATCTCCAAGGCATCACAGAGGGAAGGGAGCAAGGATAAACACCAGCACCGGTGGCTGGGCTCATTGTCTGCTGTTTTACACTTGATCTCTGGAGGCAAGTGATTACGTCCAGGAATGTTCTCTGTGGTTAAGCAAAGCAGGAGCAGTGCGAGGCTGAGATGAGGGGAAGTCCAAGACGTGTGAACTAACGACCTATGCACATGAAGAAGCTGCTGCTAATGCCTAACACTGAGCAAACATTAAGTCGCCAAATCACAACACGGGATTCCTCTCACACAGGGGAAATCAGACCAAAAAGCCATTAGTCTTGCTCTCATATTGACTCCAGAGCTTGCCTTTCTATTCGCTGTCACTGAATGAATCAGCGTGGCAAAGCACTCCCTGTACATGGCAGGCTGAAATCACACACGGAAATCAATGTTTGTAGAGTGGACAGAGCCAGTTCGAACTCTGCTCTCCCCTCTGTGGCCATGGGGAAGGGGATCTGATGCAAGCAAACACCAGTCGAAGGGAGGATGCTAATTCTGCCAGTGGTTTCCTTGGAAAACATCGAGCTTCCTGCTTGGTTTCTTGCAGATTCATCCTTCACTACACTGGAAATCTGCTGTTTGGCAGGGCTGGCGCTGCTCGGCTCTTGGCTCCAGTCCATATTGCCTGTCTGCAAGCCTGCAGGGGAGGGAGGCAGCGGATGCTCTCCCTGGCCACTGCAGGCAGGAGGAGCATCCACACAGGAGCTACATCCCCACACAGCAGTAACATGTAATGGAGAAAACCACCACGTTCTGCTGCAGGAACGGGCTGGATGCACAGGTTATGAGAGTTCCCATTCCAGTGATAGCTGCCGGTGTGGCTCTGAAGGTAGGGTTTCCCACCCAGCACCTAGACACCGCAAAAGGTACAAGGATTTGGGAGCAAAAGGCAAGGATGTGCCCAACAGTGCTGTACAGACAAATGGTCCAACCTGCTTATTACTCAGGGAGATCCCAAGTGATGCACGGAGGGATGGGGTTTGTTCCCAGAGGCCCTTAACCACAGAAGGACCAAATTCCCAAGGATCCAAACAGTAAAAGATGTTCTCCAGGGGGGTGAAGGTGATCCCAGAGGGTGTGGGGTGGTTTTGTGTGCTTCCGACCCCAGGGAGCATCCAGTGAGGTTTGGGATCGCTGGAGCAGAAACCTGGTGTGCAGGAGGAGAGGCAGGAGGTGGGAAAGAGCCCCCTGTGTCCCCAGCTCTGCAGGGAACCAGCATCACTCCCATGCTGCAGACAGCTGGGATTTCACTGCATTAAGGGAGAGGGAGCAAAGTCGGTTTACATGGCTGATGAGCATCGTCGTTGCCAAGATACATAACCATGTTGCTCTGTTTATTGATTATTTCACCCTGTCGTGCAAGCTATCCAGGCTTCAGGGTACTGAAGGAAGGAACGAAGGGAGCCTGTGAGTCGTGGGGCTCTTGGACCTGAAGTGCACCCACCCCAGTGCATCCCTTTCCAAGCAGTCCCTTTGCCTGGAGAAATCCTAATATTCCTTCTTGCAGAATGGGTTATGGCTTTAACACATCTGTTATGGTGTGTTTGAGCAAAGGTGGGATGCAGCCCAGTCTAAATGGCTGGGAGGGGAGATGGATGCAGCCACTGTGGACCACTCAAAATAGATGTGCATCAGTTCAAGGAGGGGCTACACATCCCCATCCCCAAAACCACCCTATGCCGAACGTCCCTTGGCATCACACAGCATATGCTCTACTTTCTCATAAGTCCATCTCTGCTCCTCAGGCAGCACCAAGACTCACCTCAAAAGCCTCTTTCACCATAAAGCTGAGGCAGATTTCCCTCTATCCTCCATGGAATTCTGCCCTCCATCCCTCCCTTCACAACATCATAACTGTGCTCTCCTCAGCACAGGAGAAGGCCAGGGAGCAAGAACTGGTCCTTCAGAGAGCCCTGGGCAGGGTCTGGGAGGTGAAGATCAGGGATGTGCGTTACCAACAGGTTCTGCAAAGTCACAGTGATGAAGCTCTGCCACCATGTGAAGCCATGAATGCACAATGAGGGCTGCAGCTCAGGATGGGTCCAAAGGAGGTTCTCCCTGTTGAAGGAAGGAGGAATTTGCTTATGCATGAACATCCACAGAAGTCGCTGAAGGGAAGCACAGGGAGATGAGGGGCGAAGCAAGCTGGAGGCTTTCTGGTAGACTTTGCTGCTGGTCTGAGAATCCCTCTTGTAAGCAGACAGCAAAGGCTGCGGCAGCACCAGGGCTCCTGGACATCCTTTTACTCACAAGGAAGCAAGATCCATACAAGGATCCTTTCTACTCACAAGGAAGCCGTAGCTGTGGAGAGCATCCACCTTCCTGTAAAGCATTACAGGGTGAGAGGCACCCATCCCTGGGCACACAGTGTCCTACCCAGCAATGATGCCTGATATCCCAAAGTACCCAGAGAGAGATCAGAGCCCAGTTAAAGCTCTTTGAGGCAGGGAATTGCAGCTGAATACTCACTCAAACCAACAGGCCACAGCCTGACCTGTAGCTCGGTGAAGGATAACTCAGGATAAATTCATCGCATGGCATAAAACCATCCAAACCTCAGTGAAGGTATAAACTGTGCACCTTATTTCTGCTTTCAGCAACTGTGATTTGTGTTGGGGAATAGCTGCTGGGCAAGGGGAGAGGAAGGGAGATGCAGCACCAGCAAAACATCCTTCCAAAGCCAGAGATCTGACCAGATGTACCAGTGCCATGAGCCAAGGAGTGACTCAAGGGAGAGCTCAGCCCCTGGCTTATCCATTCCTCAGCCTTTTCAGCAGTTGCCTCCAGCCAGCAGCAGCAGGGAGAACATTCAGGACATTAATAAACCCCGTAACACTGAATGAAGCACTTTGCTTTATGGCTTTGCTATAAGAACTCACCCCTGGATAATTCTAATTAACTGAGCTAGGAAAGAAATGAAGATTTCCTTTTCTATTTCCTCACCAATTTTCTTTATCCTTTTTTTTTTTTTTTTAACTAAATCACCACTGCCAATAAAAATCCTCTCCTGATATTTACCCACCCGGGCAGGAATATTGATCTCTGTGCAGAGAGACAGCGCTTCCCTTATTGCACATCACACTGGCTAATCCATCTTTCCTGGCTACAGAATATTGCTCCAGGTTTCTTTCCAGAGCAGCTCTGTAACTCGCTGGTTCCATGATGGTGCCTAACCCCGTAACTCCTCAGAGGTGTGGGGAGAGCACATGGGAAGAGCTTGTTTTCATCCTGCATCAGACTTGACCTCTAACAGCAGGCAGATGCTGGCATCGCTGCCCTGCCCACGTGAGAGCTGGCTGTTGGCTGCACAAGAGGCCTTCCCCCTGACCTCAGTAAAAGGGATCAGGTGCTTCAGGGCTGTTCCATACACCCAGCAGTGGGTTTAGCTGGAAAAATAAGCCCAATGCAGAGACACGAGGAAGAACGTCCCTGTGAGGGTGCTGAGGCGCTGGCACAGGGTGCCCAGAGAAGCTGTGGCTGCCCCATCCCTGGCAGTGTTCAAGGATGGGGGCTTGGAGCAAGCTGCTCCAGTGGAAGGGGTCCCTGCCCATGGCAGGGGTTGGAACTGGATGAGCTTTAAGGTCCCTTCAGCCCAAAGCAGGCTGGGATTCTGTGATCCCAGCAGATCATCCCCTGATGCATGCAGCCAAGTCGTTCCGACCCCACACCATTCAAAGTAGAGAGGTTTTATTCTCCTTTATTAAAGCACACAGGTAGCCACCTAGGAAATTGTCATTGACACCGCGGTAACTGGGAAATCATACCAACACAACCAGGGCAGAAGAGAATTAAAGAGCCTGCGCTTCAGCCCATCGCAAGCCTTTAACTCCAGAGGCACAGTACAATAAAGCTTTTGCTTTCAGGTTTTTCTTGCTCTTCATATAACAAACTCCACTGAGCATTGAAACAGAATGCCTACACACATCCACTGCAAGGGCCACGGAATTACCCAAAAGCTCAGTAAATGCACATTTATTGAGTACTTGCTTATGTGAGATCGCTGCAGCATCGTCATTATAACAAAATCTGGAGTAAAAAAAATGCCAAGCACTGGTATATAGAGATATTTTCTTTCCATAGGACATAAATCTATTTAAAAACCCAAGAACCACAAAGGGAGGGTGGCTGCTCCTTACCCAGCCACTGACAAACACTCTCCTGCTCCCTAATGGCACTGCAAGCAAAGCCCAGTGAGTTGTTCTTCGCATGCTTGAGGGTTGTGTGAGATTTCCTGGGGGATAAACATCCATTGCAAAGTGCTTCAAGTGCCCAGCTTTCCTTCCTCCTCCTATATTAATCAAGCCAAGTGCTAACTGCAAAGTTTGCTCTGGGATCCCTCAAGATTCAGCATCAAATTCCTCCCAGCTCCAGCTGTTTACAAGGGATCTGGGTCCTACACGCAAGACACTGGAATTGCATCTATATTTTAAGCCCAGCCATTAAGGGAGACACCCTACATAGAAATAGAACATCAGATTCTTTTGTACAGCATATATAAACAACATGACAGCATTAAAATATTGGCAAACCAATACATTAAAAATACAGGATCTCATAGACCAGAGCACAATAAATAGATTCACATGAAATCTGTACAACCCGGTCGACGCTGCCGGTTCTCGCGTTGGAGTTGACCTCCTATCCCCAAATGGAGATCATTGCTTTGCTTCCCCAGCAGCATCACTGCCCAGGTTGCCCTGGGGTGATGTGCTACAGGGAGAACACAGGTCTGCTGTCCCCACCAGCACGGCGGGCACCCAGTGGGAATGCTTCCATTATCAAATGAAATGATGGAGCATTTCATTTTCCACGAAGCTCTGGCCAACTGGGAGAGGAAAAATCAATCTGTGGTTGGCAGGAGGGTGGTGCCTCAGCAGCTTCTCCCATGTCCTCTCAGCATCCTGGATCTCATTCTATCAAATAAATAAGAACCAATAAACCCCCACCTTTTGTTTAGTTCGGGCATCACTTATCTCGTGTGGAGCACACGGGATGGGTTTAGGCTGCCCCTCCGATCAGAAATGTCTGTATCTTCTGCAGGAGTTGCCCTTCAGACTTCTCCAAAATGGTCATCCCCTGTACATAAATACATGTATATATAGGCCACTTTGTTCCTTCCTCCTCTCCCTGAGGAAGAACCCCAAGGCATGCTTGGCAGGATGAAACCCTACGATACAGCTGTACCTACGGCACTAGAGATGCGTATATACAAACATTCTGTCCGTTATTACAATGGAAATACAGGGTTAAAAAGTGATAGCAGCATGTAAATAAGGATTTGTGTTCATTTTGTGTCTTGTCTTCCTCCTCTTCTGATCCACGCTCACCAGTTTTGACAGCCCCTTCTCACCACCAATGCACTGGAGGCAGTGGGTTCTACTGCAGACCCCATCTGCAGGAGCTGGCGTTGTCCTCCCCAGGCTCCCAGCCACAGGGCAGTTTGAATCCCTGTTCCATCAGCTCCCTCCTCTCCCTCCCCGCATCCTTCCTTTGGCGATGACTCATCCTGGAGCTGATCCTGGGGTTTGTCTGATGGCTGCTGCCCACTTTGGCTTCAGCGAAGTCTAATTTCGGAGCAACGCTACAAGAATGAAGTGCCTGGTGAGCCACATGAGCTGTTTGCATCTTAACTCAGGGAGGAAGAGAGAAATGGAATAGTTTGTATTTTGCCTGTCTCCCAGCAGCAAAAGTGTAAGTCCCAGGAGCAATGCCTGGTTTAAACACTTCATTCCCCAATTCTCAACGATGCCGCAAAACCACCGGGGTTTCGCAGCAATCAAAGGGCTGATTTCAAACACGTCCCTTAGTGCAGGGAGCACAGGAATTAAAAATGCATCAATTGGGCTTTTTTCCACCTGCTCCTGCAGATTCCGGTTTTCCCAACCCCCAGCATCGTTTCCTCTCGGTTCTGGAGGTCCTGCTAAAGAGCTGTTATCTGAGTCAGCTCTGACGTGGGGGTGGTTGGACTCTGCTGGGCGACAGCCACCATGGGAATTTCCATGCCTAGTCAGGCCGGATTGTTAGTTCCCTCTGAGTTCTTGCAGGCGTAAGCCACATCCTTGGCGATGCTGCACATCCTGTTGGACATCTGGAGCTCCGTCCTGAAGGCGGTGGGGAAGCAGAACTTCTTGAAGCACGCCTTGAAGTTCTCATCTAGAAAGGCATAGAGCACGGGGTTCAGGCTGCTGTTGGCATACCCTAGTGCAGTGCAGAAGCAGGAGATGGCCAGCTCAAGCTCGCTTTCTGCTTTGGCACCCAAGCATTGGACCAGCACAAAGATCTGGATGGGAGTCCAGCAAATGATGAAGACCGCCACCACCACCAGGACCATGCGGGTGATGCGCCTCAGGTTGCGGTCCTTCTCCTTGGAGCCTGAAAGGACACGGACGTTCTTGAGTCGTCTGATCATGAGACTGTAGCAAATGGTGATGATCAACACGGGGATCATAAAGGAGAAGAGAAAGACACAGATGCCAAACACTGGATCCCAGTAATCCACGGGTGAAGGGAGCTTAATCAGACAATCGATTTCTGCAAGGGGAAAAACAACAAGGAAAGGAAGGTCAGCAAAACCACAGCAAGAAGAAAAGCATCTGCAGGTTCATTTTAGGCATGTTTAATACAGAAAAAGCAGTAGCAGGGATGCAGAAAGGCAAAGGCACAAAGAGTTAGGATGGCTTTACAACAGAGGGCTCATCACACCGATGGAAGTGGTACCCCCCTCTCCAACACCGCCCCAAGCCCATAGGCTCTCTGGCCACCAACACCTCCCACCCGTTGGACGTGTTTTTACTGACCATTGTTTTCATTCTCTGCAGATCCCATCACCATGGCTGGGATGCCAAAGACGGAAGCCAGTGCCCAGATGCAGACATTGACCACTTTGGCCTTGTGGGGAGTGCGGATGTCCAGTGCTTTGATAGGGTGGCAGATGGCAATGTAGCGGTCCACGCTCATCATCGTTAGCGTGAAGGTGCTTGTGAACATGTTGTAGTAGTCTATAGAGATGGCAATCTTGCAGAGGACATTGCCAAAGGGCCAGAAGCCCAGGAATGTGTCCGTACCCTGGAAGGGTAAGGTCATCAGACACAAGGTATCTGCCAGAGCAAGGTTAAAGATGTAAATGTTGGTTGCTGTCTTCATCTTGGTGAATCTGTAATGAAGGAAAGGGCAATGGTTAGAGCTTCACCTGACCATGATGGGTAAGACATTGAAGCCTAGTGAAGAGGGCATTTTGCCACTTTAGGAAGGAGATACTCTATATTCCTTATGTAACAAGAGATTTGACACCCTTTCCTTTCCACCTCCCACATGTTTATCAACACGCAGCTCAACCCAGCTCCTACACCACCACAAACAGTGCCTTCACAATCAGTTTCACAGGCAGGAGAAGTATGTTCCTTAGACCATGAGCTTTGAAAACGACTTCAGTAAGGATTTCATCACATATGGCTTCATTATTATAAATACTGGTGAAAGCTTTACCCAGTAAGCTCATTTTAAAGGCATCATATGGACCAGGGGTAAGTTCATTAGCTATTCTGTATGGGCTCATATGGGCCAAAGACGATGGCAAATGCAAGCTACCGAATAAGAATGGGTAAGGTGGCCAGCCCTGGCCAGTGGCAGCTGAGAACTGGTGAGGAATGAGGTTTGTATCAGAAATACAACACCACAATGGATCTTTCCAAGGAAAGGGATAGTTTGCACATAGAGGCATGAGCTGAGTTGGCTTCAAAGAGTTTTGTCAATGCCAAAAGGACAAGGCACAGAACGATATTCTGTATTACGTCTGACATCCCCAAAGCAAGACTCACCTTGTTCCAATGGCAAATCATCTCTTTTTTTACACATGGGAAATGATGCAAAGAGAGATGTGATCGCCTACCCAAGGACACAGGCAGAGTCTGCAGAAATGGAAACCCAACAGTGGTTCTGCGACCGAATCTAACACTTCAGCTCCAGGATGTTCCTCTCACAGGCAAAAGAAGAGCTCAAATAGGTATAATTTTAAAACTACAGCTCATCTATCATTTACTACCCTAATGGCCTTTACAGAACCGCTGCCAGAAATGGCAGACAATGAGGTGTGTTATTAAGGGAGGACAAGTTCATCCGAGGGTAACACCTGAGCCCATACACCACGGCGCTATTTGCAGTCTGAAGCGTGTTAGAATATTACAGGGTCTGATTATACCTAAAAAGCTCTTTCTTGTCAAATGGATTCAGAGCAGCAAACCCACAACCGTACTCAGCACCGTGCCCTCCCCTCATGATGGGAGCTTCAGCTCTTGATAGGCTATTTGAATGCTTAGAGGAACATTATCACTGCCACGCTCTGAACTCTGCTGAGACGCACAGTGACACAGCCAGGTTTGCAAGAACAACAGCCAGGGGATCCAGGATCCAGAATACAAAGTCTGTATTTTTACCCCTTTTAGAGCTTGTATTAGAAAGTCAGACGTCTGAAAGTGGCTTCAGAAGCAAGAACAAATGATCCTATATTTGACTTTGAAAGCCAAAGCGAAGCGCTTGGAGATGGGCATGGATGGCAACGCTTGTGTTACCCACACAAATCAGGCTCCTCCTGGCCCAGAAATCCCAGCAGACAGTCAGTGGGTTCTTAGAAAGCCAGCCCAGATCAAATAAATTCATACAACCAAAGCAGCAGAGGAAAAAACGCCGTTGTCCTTCCTATTGTGAGGGTGTGAACAAGCACTTTGCAAACCCAACACAACCGGGCAGCTGCCAGGGCTTTAGTGCCTAGGACTTCCTAAGCAGAACTACACAGGAATGGGGAGAGAAGATGGTTCTGTGAATGGATTCAGACACTTCTGGGTCAGCAGGAGGGGAATTCAAATTAAGAAATTAAATCAGTGCTCTTCATCAGCGCACACAAGAAGAAGTATTGTCAGCTCAGCTCCAGGTTATTCAGAGCCATCTAAAACCGTTAGCAAAGGTCTCCTGGGAGCTGTTGTCTTCCTTAGCATCTCTCACACCCAGCTGGGCTTGCTCAAGCTTCCTAAAGGTCAAGTTTGCTCCAGTCCATCTTTCCCAGAGGACTGGGCTTGGAGGCAATTCATCAACGTTGCCCCTAACCCCCACTGCTTTGACTGATGTTATAACTTGAGGGAATTGGAACTGGATGACCTTAAGGTCCTTTCCAACCCCAACTATTCTATGATTCCAGGAATAACAACTGAGGGTCAGAACAATGATGAGCAGCTTCACTCTCCAGTGGGAGAAACAAACAGTGATCCACCTACCTCTACCACCCATCCAGCATCCATGGAGGACAACACTGCCTCTATGCACACTCCTGCATCCCTAGAGCAGAGACAAGTTAGGGGCATCTCAGCTCACCCTGAGCCTGGGGTGTGCAGACTGCAAACCTTCAGCTCCCTCCATTGCAGGGAGCTCACTGGTACTTCTCCTTCAAAGCCCTTCTCAACAAGAAGATGCAGTCACTCAGCCTGGCTCTGCACAACCTGCTCTCCCTCCATGTGGACCCACCTTCAAGTGCATCTTAAGGTTGATTTTGTGCTCTTAAAAGGCAGGGGGATTAATTTACACCTATTTAATTACCTCTAGCTCCAGTCCCTGTGCACGGTGAGAGCCAACAGCCTGTACCCCATCCAACCAATGTTCCCAAACATTTCCAGAATGTTCAGTACAAACAAAAAATCAATCCATCACTTCTCTGTGGATTAACCTCCTTCTCTTCTCCTCCAGGAACCCAGAGTGTTCTCTTTCTTAATCTGCTCAAAGGAAAGACAAATTAAACCCTCAGGCTTTAGGAAGCACCTACAGCTGGCCCCCATGGCACAGCTCCGATGCGGATAAGGCTGTGGACAGATGAGGACAGCAGCTCCCTGCTGAGCCACTTTCTTGCACTTGGTCACAGAGGCAATTTCCTAATGGAGCATCTCCCACAGGGCAGTTCTCAGCTCTCCATCCAGCTCCAGAAGCCACCACGTTGCTGTGCTCTCCTGTTGGCCCAGCTGCTGAAGCCTAAGAGGAAAGATGTCTGGATATGAGCTCAGGACTCCGCTTCCCCCTCCTGTTGGCTAAATGGATCTTAAGGAGTATTACCTGGAACAAAGCTCTGCATCAGCAAGGGGAACCTGCAGTCTGGGAGAGGAGGAGATGGGTAGGAAGGAAACGGCTCTTCCACATATGGGGCTTTGAGGTCCTGTTTCTCACAAGGATGGGGTTTGTCCCTGGCTGAGCCCTCAGGGTTTTGAGCCATCGAACCTATTGTTTTAGCTTCACTCCTTCCTTTCCAGTAACCTCAAGTCTGCAGGGCAGCAAGCAGCTCCTGATGCCCCAGGCTAAGGACCAGGAAGTACAACACAAAATGGGGCTGCAGACACCAGAGCAAAGCCTTGGACCATGAGCATTATCCCCAGGAGCTCCCTGCCTCTCAGAGCCTCTCGATTTTGATGTTCTTTGCTCATCAGGATGCAGACAGCACTGTTCACCTTGAGCAGCAGCCTCCATCACCACACCCTGGCATCAGTGGCAGCCTTTGCCACCACCCCTGGATACACACAGGGAAGCAAACCAGAGCAGAAGAGGCTCAGAGAGGATTCTTGCTGAGCTGCTCCCACTCTGCCAATGGAAATCAGTGCAGCTCACTGCCACCTCTGCGCCCAACCTGCTCTTAGCACCCAGGCTGCAAGAAGGTGGTGTTTGAGCTGGCACATCCCACTGTGATTTGTGTCCCCCCCAGCCATACACCTACACTGTGCCTGCTGTATCCCTGCTGCTCCCATCACCATCTGACAGCCCCCAACAGCACCCAAATCATCTTAATGGTTCAAAAAATAGACAATTTGAGAAGGACAAATTTAAAACCACTTTGGACTTTGACCCAGATGCTACAAGAAGACACCGTAACACCAGCCCATAAAAGCCTACAAATTACCTGGTGAGTGACCAGCAGGGGTTAAGGGGCCTGGGCCAGCCAGGGTGAGCACCCACTCTTTGGGCAGATGAATTTCTTGCCCTTTGAGCTCCTAGGTGACAGCAAGTTAAAACAAGCTCTGCCCTCCCTCCTTGAGGTGCTCCCCGGGGACTGGTGTGGATGGGGACATGACACGGCCCCAATTGCTGCTGTGCAGAGGGCAGAGATTGGGTGGTTGCTGCTGCAAAAAGCCTCTGCAACCGGTGCAGGGGCTCACACATCCCTGAGCAGGTCCCTGGCCACCTGGATGCTGCTCTGGTCATAGAGGGCATTCGTCAGCATCCATCCTGCAGCAAGATGCTCTCCTCCCTGTTCATGGGCCAGGTCTGCCTGTGCTGAACTGCTCGTGCCCTGAATGCTGCTGGGAATTGCCCAGACCCTGAAAGAGCACTGGGAACAGAGTCCCATATCAAACACCATGGAATTACTGCTCCACATGGACCACACTCACCCCACCAAGAGCCCTCCAGCACAACGCTGCAGACACAGGATCTGTGTTAGCAAGGGTCAGACACAGCTACTGTGAGCCTTTTTCTTCCAGGAAAAGCCGAGAGAGGCAGATGTGGAGCGTGCTGAGGTCTTGGATGGCCCCACCAGCACCCGCTGGGTCCACGCTGCATTAAACACTCACTCGATTTCAGCTCCGGGACATGCAGCTGGTCGAGGCTCTTCCCTTAGAAAGCGGTCTATTAGGAAATCAGCATCCCTGCAATGTCCTAATTAACTTCATTTTCCTCATCTCCTCAGAGCCAGCTGCCCTCACCCCTGCTTCTCAGGGGCTGATGCAGTTTGTAAGCAGAATAACAGCTGGCACAGCCACCCCCAGGCAGCCGCCTGGTGCAGACAGCTCCCCATCACATCTCATCTCTCCTCCTGAGGCTTCACCTGGAAGCAGCAAATGGAAATGTAGGGGCCTGGCAGCCCTATTCTGCCTGAAAAGCTGCTTTAAATGCTCAGAAGCAGCGTTCTTCACTAGAGAGAACAGAGCAGCCTCACTGGGCTCCCAACAGATTGCTTCCATGGCAAAGAAACGAGGCATCGTTCCCATGGGGGCTGATCCAGGTGAGCAGAGCCAACAGTGAGGAAGTCCTCCGGATGACCACTGCCGAGCATCACAGCAGCATGATGGAGCTAGGGGTAACAGAGGACTTCCTGGACCAGAAGCTGCGTGTTGTCCCTGGTCCCTTCCCTGGCACACTGGTCTCTCACACCTCATGCAGCAACACCAGTGGCAGCATCACCTCCAGCCCCGTGGGTCAGCCAATGTAAGAACAATACATCCCTCTACCCCTTTAATTCCTAAAAACAAAGCTCTTGGCTGAGCAGCCCTGCACAATTCAGTCCCTAACCAAGAGGGACCTCAGCAGCCTGGTTCCCCCCGTCTCCCCCAAACCCTCTCTGCCTTGTGCTCTTCAGTCCCTTGTTTCACATTGATTAAAAAGCAGCACAGGAAATCTATGCAGAAGAGAGCAAAGAGCAGAAGGGGAAGGAGGGAGCGGAGGCATTACCTCCACTGGCAAGAGCTCCACAATGAGCAAGCAGAACAAGGCAGGTTTCCACAATAGGCCCTTTACTGTCCAGGAAATCATGTTCTTGATGAGAGCCCTTCTTGGTCTCCTCCAATTAGCGCTGCTCAGCATTAGAAGGGGATTGACAGTCAGCTGATGACTGCTCTCTATAGATCAGATCACTCCGGGTACCAGGGAGGCTCTGCACCAGAGGGGAACACCAAGGGGAGGCTTTGCATTTGTATCCTTGTGGGAAACATGGGGAGATCTTCAACTCTTCCCCTTGGTGCTGCAAAAAAACCCATTCAGGAGGAGCAAAACCCAAAGCTTCCTCACGCCTCCTCTTTCCTCGAGTGCTGCTATTGGCCTCTGTTTCCCAACTCCCACAAAACCAGGAAGCAATTACTGCTTATGGTCCTGAAGCATTCTGTTCCTGGAACACAATACAGCGCTTTCCTGCAGGATGTGGTGCCAGCTTGTCCCTGGGGAAACGCAAGCGTGGAAAGGGAAAGCGAAAACCAGGTTTTGTAGGGTACACCCTATCTACAGGTGACAGGGATGCAGCACAGAGGCTTTGCCAGTCTTTTCCACGTTAATGGAAGAGATAGACCATTAAGAGCCCCAAGCCCCATGCTGACTTACCAGCAACCAGCTTCCAGCCTACTGAAATAAAGAGGCTTTAAAGGCAGGAAACCCAGAAGCACCAATGTTCCAGCGTGGGGAGGAAAAGGTGTGCTTGAGAAGTCATCATCATCCTCCTGTACACGGCCAGAGATACTGAGTCCAGTTTCTCTGCTCCTGACCTCAAAAGTAAGGGCAAAGACAGCAAAATCCTGGCCAGAGATAACCAGAAGTTGTAATTATGGAACCCAGAAGGGTCATTTCCCTGGGTATAACCCAGTGTTAGCCTCAACTTAGTACTGAGCCCCCAGGACACACTGATGGGGAGACCCAGGAGGAAGCAGCAGCTTGTACAAATGCTGTAACTCTACGGCTTCCCCAGCACACATTATCCAAGGGGCCCCTCCAGGTTCATATAGAAGGTTTTTTGGTGAATCCCCCAAAAGAATTACCCAAATAGTTAAACTTTTCCTGGCTTTTTTTTTTTGCATATACAGGGGGTTCCAAATAAAGGGGAAAAGGAAGAAATGGCAGAGCCCTGGCGAAGATGGAGGCGACATCTTCAGTTTTCAACTGCTTCCAACCAGTAAACCCAGAAGACACACGCACAAAGGTTACATTCCAAGGTTCACATGTGGGGTAGGGACTCCTTTCCCCTCCTCACACACTGGTTGTTATCCCCAGGGAGCTGCATCGCTGTGGGACAAGGAAGCCTCACTACCCGCCACACTTACACGTACCCACTATCACCCTGCCTACTCGAGTGCCTGCTACAGCACCAAACAAACACGAGCTCTTCCAGTGGAGCACTGGTGCACTGCCAACCTCTCTCCATCTCCAGGCTCCCCAAGGCTAACATGATCCCTTAGCCCTGCCATAAACTCCTCTGCAGGAGGAACACGGACAGGCAGCCTGATGAACAGTCATAGAATCGCCATAGAATGGCTTGGGTTGGAAGGGACCTTAAAGCTCATCCAGCTCCAACCCTGGGACACCTTCCACTAGAGCAGCTTGCTCCAAGCCCTGTCGCTTTGCCCTTGCAACAGAGATTTAATCACTGTTCACCCACCTGTGATACCAAAGACTTAATCCTGCAGCATCTACCCCAGCCAAGTTATGTGCATCCAAGGGAAAGCTGCTTTGGCAGGAGCAAGACTTAATCCCATCGGTGCCTGCTAAATGTTGTCATCCTCTGTTGGAGGAGAAAACAAATCCACTCCGTCTTTTCTGTGCTGGCAGCATGCACCTGCACCAGGAATCGGCTCCGAGATGTGTATGAAATGGAAGCTCGCTCCTTATCACACAGGGTACTGAGATTAGAAGGAGTTTGCTGGCGTGTGACACAGAATCACAACCTTAACAGCTGCATAAACTTACTTGGTACTTACAGGAGGAAACAGGGTTTGTGATTCGAGGAAATAGAGAGGGGTTAAACCCCAGCAGAACCAGGCAGGGACACCCAAAATGCCAGCAGTGATGTGCAGGGAGGCTGCAGGACAGTGCTGCTGGGCTGGTGAATGCTCCAAGCAAAGGAGCTTGGGAAGTTGCCCTCAGTTGCAGCACCCATCACATTATTCACATCTATGGCTTCCAAAGAGTTGGGAGAGTCACACCAGTGATTCCCCTGCCCTGTAAAAGGGAAGCTGAGCCTCCCGGCAGGCTCCTTCCCTTACAATTAGCTTTGGGAAGCAGCAGCATCCCGGTGGAGCAGCACCTGCAGCCCCAGCTGTGGTGCTGGACATGGCACAGGAGGGAGAGGTGCCATGACAGGGCCAGCGGTGGGATGCTCCCATCACATTGCCCTCCCCGGCTCCCTGCAAAATAAAGCCTCGTTTCTTTTGAGCAGCTCTGATCGCTCTGTTCCATTCTCTGGGTTTAACTTTAGGAGGCACCAGAGGGCAGCTGAAAGCTGGTGGGAGCCTTCATCAGAGCCTAGGAAGGGAAAAAAAAACACAAACAAAACCAAAGCAATAAAGCAAATGCCACATCATTACCTCTAAAGCGCATTGCAACGGCCAGGGAAGCGCCTGCCTGCTTCACCCACAGCAGGGGTTTGGAGCCAGGGGGAAGGTTTGCCCTGCTCACAGCCCTCCCCACAGCCCCCCCTTGCGTGTCCTACCTGATGATCACATACATGACGGAGCAGTTGCCCACCAGCCCCACGATGCACACAATGGAGTAGACAACCACAATGGTGATCTTGATGCTCAGTGGCAGGAAGCTGTCCCCCGTGCCGTTGTTGAACCAGTTACTGGGCAGAAAGCTGAGGTTCAGCATAGAGGAGTCATTCAGCAGCTTTCTCAGGTCAGGGTCTTCCAAAATGTGGGCAGGGAAGAGCGGGTCCATCCTGAAGCATCAGCTTGTGCCAAGGACCTGCAGCGCTGAAGAGACAGTTGTAAGACCCACGGATCAAACGGGTAGCCCAGGACCATAGCAAAGCATGAGAGGGGCTGGAGGAGAAGGGCGATTCCTTGCTGGGGGGACCACCCCCCGCCTCTTAAACCTCCCTATGAAGCGGTTTTGGGGATGCAGCCCCGGCGCTTGGTGCATCCTGAGCACGCAGGGAGCTCACGCACGTCTCCGCACCGCATCCAGGGGCATGCGGGCTGCACCGCGCCAGCCCTGCATGCTCCAAGCCGCCTCCCCCGAGCCGCTCAGTGCCCATATCCGCCTTGTGCCCCCCGGGCCCCCTGCTCCGTGTCCCCCAAGGGCTGCCGCAGCCTCCCACCGGGGCTGGGGGCCGTCCTGCTGCTGGTGCACAAACCCCCCCCCCACCCCGCTTCCTCCATCCCCGGTAGCACGGCAGGAAAAGCCCGAAGTTGGACCCAAGCCCCCGCCGGCCGCTTACCTGGGTGAGGGTCTCCGGTTTAACGCCGCATCCAGGCAGCGCCGGCAGCAAGGATGGGGATAACGGCGGTGGTGGCAGGGGGGCGATGCGCTGCTCTCGCAGGCGGGGATGCAGGGGCTGCACCCCGATCCCACGTTTTTAAGGAAAAGGGAGGGATGGGAGGGAGGGATGAGGGCGGACGGCGGCTGGGCAGAGCCAGCCCCGGCTGCTGGCGGCTCCCACTGCGTAAGACACAAGCAGGGGGGGAAGGAACGAGAAGGAGGGGGGGTGATAATAAATAACCAGAGGCACCAAATGGAAAGCGAGCCACGGGCAAAGCCATACACACACACACACACACACGCCGGCCTCTCCATCACCCCCCCAGCCACAGCCCCTCAGCCTACCTGGGGTGGGCTCCAACCCAGTGGGAAGGGAATGAAGGGAGAGAAGACAAATTCCTCCCTCCGCTGCCACTGTGCAACCTGGGTGCTGTGCTAGGGAGAAACGGGATGGGGAATGTGACCTAGAAACTGGCAAAAACACAAGGAGGGCTGCGAAGCACTGAGGGGGGAGTTGTTGTTCTTTAGCGTTCGCGTAGTGGCATTCGCTAAAGGTCATTTATTCGCAAGCTAAAGCATCCTGCAGTTCGGATCAGAGCTGGAGTAGCACATTTCTGTTGAGAAGCTGCAGTGGTGAACTCGTTACCTCTGCATGGGGCGACCCACACAGTCCCTGCTCTTCCCCATCTGGGACATTAGTCCTGACAGACTCAGTGCCCAAGAGCTGCAGAGCCCCCAGGTAAGCTGCCCCCCAAACAGACCTTTGGGGTCCAGCCCCAGTTTGATCCCCGATCAGGCACAGAGTTAACTGCTGAGAACTGGAGCTTCATGGTCTTGTGCCCCCGAGCACCCCTGAAGATGCCATTTCCCAGCAGTTTATAGGGACATAAGCAGAGACACATGGGGCAGAACCAGTTTGAGGCACATCCCTAGTGCCCAGGACATGGAGAAAAGGGCAATGAGCTCTTGGGCAGCAAATGCTTCAGAGAGTGCAGCACAGCCACAGCCCTTTCTGCTTCAGTTGTGCTTTAACAGACGTCTGGGGTGATTTAGCACAGAAACTGCACCTTCTTTACAAGGACGGTAACAGTACAGCATGGTAACACGTTGTACTTTCCCTGAATGCATCCATAAGACCAGGTCACAGCTCTAACAGGGAGCAAGGGATAAAAGCCTGACCCAGGGATGCAGCCTTGTGAAAGAGAACAGTCCCTGTGCTTGAAGAAAGGTTGGGTTTTTTTACCACTCCATTAACGAGAGGGTGTGAAATAAAGAGGAGAGCAGGCATTAACTGTTAATGGATTGAGTTTCAAAGGCTGAGGGAAGGACAGCAGTAAATCAGTGCGAGAGCCCGGCTGGACAGCCCGGGAGCCTAGGGGAAAAGGGTGCTTGCAAATGCAGCTCCGCTCCTCTCTGCTGGCTCCCACCCCCAGGAATGCACTTAGCCCTCCATGTACTCACTCTGTGTTAATTCAAGGCAGCAAAGACGGCGTGTTCACCTATTTGTCTTGTTGTGGTTCTTGTTTTGACTCACAGCGCAATGCTTTGGAATGACTGCTGTAGAAAGGGATCAGCGTTGCCACCTTGAACTACCGACAGCCGAGACATGTTTAGTGTCTGCAACAAAAGCTCCTCCTCCATCCATCTCCCATCTCCACGCTGCTCAGCCTTGTCCTCCTGGACAGGAAAGTGCTCACGGTGTTCATGCTGCACCTCCAGTCCCACTCCTGCCGTTTCACCTCATTTCACCCCAATCCCAATTCACCCATGAAGAGATTTGTCCTTCCAGCACATCTCATGGACTCTTACCTTCTGCTCTCCTCAGGATCCCTGGGTTGAGAGGAGGACAGAGCCATCCCAAGAGCATGACACTCACCAGATTCCTTCCTCACTGGAAGTCTTCCCCTCATCCATTGGGGTCTATGCACAAGGCCACCAAGATTTCATTGCATGACCCAGAAGGACTTCTCCAGCCTATTTCCTAGAGAACCAGATCAGCTCCTCTGCTTGCAGGTTTCTATGCAGACAGCAGGGAAACAGGAGCCAAAAAAGAACCAGCCAAAAATGCAACCCTTCTTCCAGGTGATGATGGTCAAGGAAGTGCTCATGAAGGCAGCGGGTGACACCATGAAGAGATGCTGGGTTTACAATAAAGCATCCCAAGCATCAACGTGCAAGTCAAAACCACATTCCTGGTGCAAATACCCTCTTTTACTTCAGCCCCACTTTCCTTTGAATGCACACAAAATAAGTCTCAAAACTATACAAAATTCTGATGAATGGGGTCATTAGAATATCCATTAAAGAATTAAAATGAGCTTTGGGCATATATGGAGGGGGGGTTGGCATACCTTCAAAGGCTTATACTATAAAAAACCCGTATCTGCAGCCCAAGCAGGTTGTTCTCTGCTTGGTTAATGGATATATGTTGGCAGAGGCAGGACCCTGGGCTTCCCCATACACCTACACCACATCCATCTCCAGACTCGTGAGGAGCATCAGTCCAGCCTGGGATGAACAACCCTTATCTATTTCAAGCTAATCCAGCTCAAGTGTCACTAATTCCACGTACAGCTGTTCCAACCAGGTTGACTTTGCAGCCACTGCTCCTGAACGTGGAGGATTTCTGCTGCTTTGGCAGGAACCAGCCCACAGCCACCTGCATTTCCTACCCACAAGGTGCTTTTCCTGCCTTTCCTTGCTGAAGGTGAAGGCGGCTGCATGTCAGAGCTGGTTTCCCACCTTCAGCCCAGTCTAACCAAGGCCATCAGGAGCAGAGATTTAATCCTGCAAGATGGGAAATCATTTCTCATGCAGGGAACAAGAGGCCGGGCTGAAGAGGAGAGGGAGGAAGGCTGAGGAGGATGTGGAGTGCGCTTGGAAGAGCTGGAGAGCAAAGGTTCAAAATACAGCTGCCACTCGTGATGGGCACATGGCAACACTAAATAGCTAAATTGTGCCATGGTGGGCGAGATGTGGTTTATGGACGTTAACGGTCATACAGGAGACATCAAGAACAGTCAATACCTAAAGGTGGCCAACAAAGCTGGAGAGGGGCTTTGGACAAGGGCCTGTAGGGACAGGACAAGGGGAATGGCTTTAACCTGCCAGACAGGGAGACACACACCTGCATTTCTCCCATCACTGTCCACACCACAAACACCAAAGCCATCTCTGTTAATGCACACATCCACCCATCAAAACTGATGGTGCTCACAGTGCGTTACTGTTGGCGAATCCATCCACAGCTCAAGCTGGTTGGTAGGATGAGAAACAGATGTGATTTCCAGGTTTGCTGTTAAATATTTAGGCAAAGAAAAAGCACCCAAACTCTTGTTTTTCTTGTTTTCCAGTATTCTTTTACCTGCTCAAAACCCCCCAGTTCGCCCCTCCAGCAAGACCAGCATCCTCGGAGCATTCCCTCTGGATCCTCATCACACCCTCTTTAGCCTTGGTATTTAGAGCGCTTCCCTGAGCTCTCTGCTCACCCTCAGCTTTCTGGGTTTGTGAAGCATCTGCACAAGTCAAGGAGAGCCCAACTACAGCTCAGGGTAGCTGTGGCTTCCCCAAGACCAGCGTTACAGCAGTGTCCTTGAGCATCGCTGCTCCCTCCATAGGGTCAGCGCTGAGCAGGGACATTAAGTGTATCTACAGCTGAGCAGGCAGAGCATTAAACACTAAGGTGAACCATTAAACACTAAGGAAATCAACAGAGCAGGTATTGGGGTTTAGTGGGGAATGAAAGAGAAACTGCATTACAGCTAGAAAAGTGAGAGCAAGGGGTATTTCCAGCACTGGAAAACCTGCAAAACAGGCATGAAAAATGATGTTGAGGATGGTCAAAGAGCAAAGGGAAGTCACTGCTCAGCCTTGCACCAGCTCCAGAAGAAAGAGCAAGTGATCCCAGTGCATCCCATCTACTCATGGACTGAGCCATACATATAACTCCAGACACAGCCTTTAGCTGAAGCCAGCAGAGAACAGCAACTGAGCTCATCCATCCCCACATCCCCAGCAGGCAGCTCCATCTGCCTGCTCCTGATGCTTGCTCTGCCAGAGCCATGGGGTCAGTGCCTGCATCCCCCTGCACCCTGACACCCCAACACTGCTGCTGGCTGACACTTCCCTGCCCACTCCTGCAGCTGCAGGCAAGGAACTGATCCATAGGAACAGGCATATCACACAATGAAACAGCATCCTGCAAGAGGCAGCCGATCCCCAGGGGCACCCGACCTGGCTGACAGAGCTGGAGCCAATCGATTCCTCTTTCCAAAATAGCAGGACAGCAAAACAAGTGTAATTCAGTCCCACTTAAAGCCCAATCACAAAGGAAATCTTTCCACTTCTCTCCTATCCATCCTTTTCCTTCCGTTTCCTCGCCAGCTCCCAAAACCCTGGAGTTCCCATGCCAAGAAATACATCAACTCCTGCTACATTCCCTGGGGCCATGAAGTGGGAGAAGAAAAAGGCATGTAGCTCCCCAAACCTTCATGAATTTACAGGAAGAACTGCTTCAGTTCCGTTCCAGTCTCTCCCATGTTTGCATGACTTGGTCAGCATCCAAAGGACAGCAACCACCAAGACCAGAGGGGTTCCAAACCCCATTAAGGTACAAGGTCCATGGTAAGGAGAACAACCAGATGCACTTCATGCCAGAAGCCACCTGCCTTTTGAGAGCCTGATCCTCACTACTTGGGAATGAGTGGACCCTGCTTCACCATATACTCATTTAGAGCAGAATCCCTCAAGCTCTAACAGAGGGGAGTACACGATGCGACCCACTTCACTGGTATTGTACTGCTTGCCACCATTATTTCCCATTTCCCAGGGACTGAACAAATCCCTCCACTCTCTCAAGGCAGAAATCCCTCTTTGTCCCTGTTATCCCTTCACCCAAGGCACTGATTTCTTTCACCATCCTGGGAATAGGCTCCCAGCATCCAGGGTTCACTATATGGGCATCCCCAGAGCGCAGACGCCAAGAGAAGGGTCTCTGTTTTAGGGAAAGGCAATGGCGGCTGCACGATTTACACAGACACTCAGTAGGAAACAGAGGCAGATGATGAATTCAGAGCCTCCAAGCTCCATCCCAGCACTTCAACCTCTTATCCCTTAGGGAGGAAAACACCTCTGTGCTCAGATGGCAATTTTCACAGAGGTCTTTCAAAGCAAGGATCTGCTCATCCCCTCTGTGCTGCAGTCGCTTTACATAGCAAACAGCTTTGAGAGCAACAAATCCGCTGCAACAAGCCTAGCATCAAGATACCCAGCATCCATTTGCTGCTTGTTTCCTTCTGAACTTGCTTTCCCCACCAAGACGTCCCTCAAGATCTTGCTGTTATTCGGATCAATAGCGGCTGATGCCTGCCAAACCACCCCAGAGCACGTTGTTCTCCCAGCTTTAACCCACCTAAATGCACTCACGGAAGCCTTCCCTTGTTCCATGTTCTAGCAAGAGGCAACAATAGCTGTTTACTGAAAATTCCAAGCAACTGCAGAGGGAAATGTATTCCCAGCAGGCTTCCCAAGGAATGAAGATCTGCCTTGAAAAAAGGCTCCAGCCTTTAGCAAACCTGTAAGCAGGAAGAGCCATCAGCAAGGTAGAGGATATGCATGTAAATAACATGCAACCAGCAGCAGCTCTGCAATGTCTCCTCACCTACGCTGTTCATGTGGCTGCCGGGCTCGCTCTGATGCCATGCAAAGAGCCATGCCAGAAGCACTGTGCATCCCAGCTCCCCCTGATTCTATGTGGGATTGAGAGCCAAAGCCCAGGGCCTGGAGGGACGACAGGACAGGAGAACACAGCTAAAGGTGTGTTACAGAGAGAGCAATGGGTGCACCAAGCCCTGCCTGCTCACAGGACCATAAGGACACATGCATTGGGTGCGCAGGGGTGCACTGGTGACCATGAGAGGGGATGTGCAGCACTCAGCTTTCACTCCCACCTATGGAAATTGCACCATTCCCCCATACAACCAATATTTAACCTTACCCCAAGCCAAAGCCTTACCAAGAAACTGCTTGGTCCCACCAGAAACAAGCCCTTCACAACAACAAATCCCCTTCCATACACCCCTACCCTGCCCTTTTACCCCTCCATCCACCCAATCCACATCACCTGCACTCATGACAGGATGAAACTGTCCCAATTGCAGCCTCAGCAAAACTTGTTGCACAAGTGATACAGCAGCAGCTTGGGAATGGGGAGAGGTTTTTAAACCTGGGTCAGCAAAAGAACGGATGCTGGGACTGAAGCGTGTGCGATAGAGCCAGGGTTTTGAATGTGAAAGATTGTGTGAAAAGACCCCGAGAAACACATAACCTGCTACAGCTTCCTCCTCTAAAGGAGAGAAGCTGTGTGAAAGGTCTCTAGGAAATAGATATCCTACCATGCTTTTCACTACTGGACTTTCAATAGTTGCTCCCCATCCCCTGCTTCATCCCCAAGGAGCAGCTGAGGAAGATGCTGGAGGCGCTGAAGATGTGCTTAATCACAGCAGGAGCCTCAGAGAGTTGTATCAGATGTTTCTCAGAGTTGAAGAGACCGAGCCCTTCCTGCCTGCAGAAATGGTCCATCAGTCCCTAACCATCCCATCTCACACTGGCGGGGTCCAGCCGCACTTTGGCACTTCATCCTCCCTTCAGACACCTGGAGATGCTCCTGCAGCCTGCCCCAGCTCAGTCCCAGCTTCTGAACCTCTCATTACTTCTCCTCAGGACCATTTTTCTTGGTATCTTCTCCCTTTCCCAGCCTTGCACCCTCCATCACCTTCACTGAGGCGGTGTCAGGTTGAGTCCATCTCCCAGAGCAGCCTGAGCTCAGCGCCCGAGGCAGGATCTGCCAGCTCCAGTAATCACAGCAATGAGGATTGACTCTTCCCACCGTGCTTCTGCTGCAGAAACCCAGACGCTGCTGCAAACCCATTTGTGAGATGGATGGAGGAGCAGAGAAAACAGGAGCCTGGGGCTAAAAGGCAGGAGGTGAGAGGAAAGGAGCATCCCAGAGAGGTAAAAAGGTCTCAGCCTTGCAAAGTGCCTTTGCCATTCCAGAGGAGATGCAGTCATGGGAGCTGCCCAAGTCAAGGGCACCAGCATCTGAAAACGTTCTGCAATGAGGGTCTGCAGGTGAGAAGAGAGGCTTGAGAGCAAAAACACTCTCCCAGAGCTTTCAAGAACTATATATATGTATTTCTAAAGGCCCAAATAATCTAAAGCTCAGTTGAGGTCTTCTCTTTACCTGAGATCCCCTACAAACAGCAGCATCGTCTCATGCTATCGTTTGGTTTCATGAAAATCCAACTGAGGGCCGAGGAAAGGGAAAAAGAAGGGAAATGGCCTTTTCACCATTGCTCCTGGAGCTCAGGGGCCATCAGGCTTCTGGGGGTTCAGGTTCACGCATTCCTGCAGGCTCTGATCTTTCGGATGAGATGGATTAGGTTTTACAGCATCCTTGGAGTTGCTTCTGCTGACTTTAAACAAGACACTAAAGCAGTTCAGTGCCACTGTCACCAAGGGTGGTTGTTAAATGTGCCTGAGGATGCCTTTTATTGCCTCCTCGTTTTGAATCTGAGTACGACAGCCAAATCTAAACGATTTAACAAGCCTGCCTTGTAACTGTGCTCCTTTCCCTTGTTTTCTTCATTGAAGCCTTGCAGTAATGAGCCATTACAGAGCAGCACCCACACACCCCATTAAATACCCCAAAGCCTGGTTTGCACCTCCAGCCCCACACGTCCTGGGTTTGCAAATCCCACTGGAACCAGCAGGTGATGCTGAAGCAGAAAACATGGGAGCTCCTCCTGCCTTCTATTAGGCTTTTATTTGCCTTCCATAAAATTCATAAGTGAGAAAAATAGTGTGATGTTGGTGGGGGATTTAGAAAGTGTAGGATAGAAATGATGACACGTACCATATGGCTTCGTTCTCACTGTCTAGTCAGCTCTTCAATCCCATAGACATGGGCTTTCTCACGTCTAGGATAGAGTGAGGACACCTGAAACTAAACAGGACCTTTTCTCTAATGGGGTCGGAGCTTTCCTTGAGCCGACCTTCCCACAGTGCTTGCAAAGCCCCAGCGCTGCATTCCCTGACCTCACTTTGGCATTCCCAGTGTGCCACAGACACCACGTGTCCCCTTCCAAGCCTGCAGGTGTTGGAGTGAGCAGTGCAGGAAGCAGCTGAGGTGGGAGCGGACACTCGTGCTCAGCATCCTACCAACTTCTAGTGCTCTGCTCTGCAGACACAAGGTAGCAGGTAAATGACCCTGTCTAAAGCAAGAGGGGATGGCTTCTTCCCTTCCTCATCAGCAGTTTGTGGGATGGCTTGCAAGTCTCCCTGGCAAATCACCTTGATGGCCTTCCCTTGAAGCTTGAACGCTGCAAGGGGCAGCAGCGCTACAGATGCATCCCTCTGGGTTGTGTTCTGCTTTCAGTGCTCGAGTTAATTCTGTATCTAAATATTTCAGCTGAAGTCTCTGCCTGTGAGAGAGATTTGCTTATTAGATAAAAAGGAGGAGGAATAGATACAGCATCATTAAATATCAGCAGAACACCCTGCTGTTGCCAGTGTTCCCTGAGAGACATAAATGCTCCACCATCCACTCCAGCACCCCACCACTGCTCACCTCCCATCACCAGCAAGCCACAGCGGGCCAGCCCTGGCCCCATTCAGATGTGCTGCCACCACCTCATCCTCCCTATTTCCACACCAGTCAATACCCACCAGTAGGCACAGCCCAGCTGATGCAATGGCATCCTCACCCTATAGACGTTCACACCTAAAATCAGGGCAGAACCCATCCCCAGTGCCCTACTTGTCACCCACCTTCTGTTTTCATCATCCCAGGGATGTGCAAAGCATCACATGGACTAAGAGGCTTTTGCCATTTAATGGCTTTTGGTCTGCTGATGCAGCCCCAGGAGGGATAACTTGTTTTATTCCCCTGACCATGCCTTGGCTTTTCCCCTCCCTGGCAGCTCAAGTATGCCATAGGAGGTAATTCTGTTCAGACAAAACCTAAAAATCAAATCATAGCTTTACCAGAAACATGAAACTGTGGAGAAGAGACACTTGACAGGCAGCTCCCACTGCAGGGGATGGGAAATGAAGAGATCTTCCTGACAGGCAATGACATCTGCGAGTGTTGCCAAACTTCAGGAGCTGAAAGGGGAAACAAGAGTCTTCAATAGCTGAAGAGAAGAGTTTGACACCTTCAGTCCTACCCCACTCACTGCGAGGACCAAGATCCGAACACCCAGAGGAGCGTGGAAGTGGACACCAGCAAAGGGGCTCCACAACAGTATTATATTTGTATTATATTGTGTATGATATATATATGTATTATATTTGCAACACTATGTGTAAATTGGGAACTAGGGGCTGCAGCACCTTGATGTAAAGCCTGCATGCACCACGGTGCATGCAAAGAGTTCCTACACACACATTCCCATCCAATCCTGAGGGATTTGCACAAGGGATGGCTTAACCCCTGCATCCCTCATTGCTTTGCCTGCATGAATCCCTAATATCCTTTTCTAAGGACACTCATCACTGTACCCAGGTGCCTCAGACATAAAATTAACTAAAACCCAGTACTTAGGGGGGCCTTCGGATGTCTTTATTTCCAGCATGGAAATGAATTGGGCTTAAAGGTTTTGCTTAAGGAATACCTTTGTAAGAAGCTTTTAGTTCCTTTTACTCTCCTTCCTCTGAGGATTTATTCAATTGATGGGCACTGATTTCCCTGAAAAGCACCTGCAACAAGAGCATCCAAACAGAAGAAAGCCCACAAGCTCAAAGCAAGCTTTCATATCCCCCTTTAACTTCCAGTTCCCAAACACTCCACCCAAACACTCCACCCAAACACTCCACCCAAACACTCCACCCAAACACTCCACCCAAACTCCACCCAAACACTCCACCCAAACACTCCACCCAAACACTCCACCCAAACACTCCACCCAAACACTCCACCCAAACTCCACCCAAACTCCACCCAAACTCCACCCAAACTCCACCCAAACTCCACCCAAACTCCACCCAAACTCCACCCAAACTCCACCCAAACTCCACCCAAACTCCACCCAAACTCCACCCAAACTCCACCCAAACTCCACCCAAACTCCACCCAAACTCCACCCAAACTCCACCCAAACTCCACCCAAACTCCACCCAAACTCCACCCAAACTCCACCCAAACTCCACCCAAACTCCACCCAAACTCCACCCAAACTCCACCCAAACTCCACCCAAACTCCACCCAAACTCCACCCAAACTCCACCCAAACTCCACCCAAACTCCACCCAAACTCCACCCAAACTCCACCCAAACTCCACCCAAACTCCACCCAAACTCCACCCAAACTCCACCCAAACTCCACCCAAACTCCACCCAAACTCCACCCAAACTCCACCCAAACTCCACCCAAACTCCACCCAAACTCCACCTTTGCACAGTGTTTTTCCCAGAAAAAAACCCCAACAATCTCACAAACACGTTCCTGAAAGTTCCATGTAAAAGAAGAGCCAAACCCTGTGTTAAGATCCACAGGGCCCTTGCTGGAAGTGAGCAAAAGGAATGTGAAACAGCAGCAGGGTCCTCCCCGGTGTCCTCCCACGGCACCGGTTGCCTCAGCTGCATGGAAGCATCACCTCTGGCAACCAGATGGAGTGGCTGGGAATTCATTTCCAGGAAAAAGGGAGAAACAAAGAACCAAAGGAGAAAAACACTTGCTTGGGTTCCAAGAAACACCAAGTGCAGCTGCTACCCTGCAGGAGAGCAGTGCAAAACCATTCCCAGTTCACTGTGGGCGCTGCCGGGGCTTCCTTTTTGCTCCTAAGCCTAAGGAGGGAATGGGATGGGGAACACGAAGCTCTCCAAAGCCAAGAGCTCTGCTCTTTTGGCCCTTGAGGAGCATGGTCCATGCGATGCACCGAAGGGCTCCCGATGCAGGCAGGAAGTTGGGAATGCTGAAGCTGTTTATGGCAGCTGCAGCAGCCCGCAGTTAACACGTGCTGCTATAAACGTGAGCCCTGCTAGCACTGCCATAAACAGGCACAGCAAGCAACTGCTGACTTCCCTCCCCTGCAAGCCAACACTCATCCATCTTGTCCTAACCTGCCTCTCGTCTGCTGCTTGCTTTGGGCAGAAGCATTTCCCCCTCTCCCTCATGCAGGTCTGCCAGCACCATCCTCTTCCTTGCACCCCAAAGGACCTGATTCAACCTCAGCAGTCCCCTTGTCACTGCTCACTCTACAAGCTGTGTGCAGTAAAGCACCAGACAGACCTCAGCTTCATCACAGCCTTATGATGGGGTACATTTAAACAGCACAGGAAAGCCTTTAGGGAGTCATTTAGGCAATCTCAGTTCCCAGGTCACTCCTCAGGCTGTGGATGAGTGCCAGGAGCAGGGGCTGTGCCCTCCCTGGCTCTGAGCATCATCAGAAGGATGCAAGTCTCTGCTGATGCCAAATGAAGCTTGTTCCCTGCTGTGCCCAACCTCCACATCTGGGATGCAACACAACCAGTTGCACATCCCTGTAGGAACAGCAAAACCTCAGGGGCAGCAGGGTCCAGATAAGCCCCTGTCTATCAGTATCAGCACAACTGCCAGCCCTCTCCCTGGGCCAGGCTCATTGGATATCCCTACTCTGCAGTAAGAAGCCTTGGAGCTCCCTTGTGCTCCAATACCACCAGCTCTGACCCCATCCATCAGCTCTGACAAGCTGCCCCAGGAGCTCCCTTAGCCCCGGAGAAGAGCAGGGCTGTTGTCCTGATTTACCTGGGACGCTACCAAGGGCTTCAGACAGGGATGGAAATGCCCGAGGTAATTTCTCCTGGGATCACGCATTACTCGTGGCCCCGCTGAGGACCACCTCTGAGCAGCAGAGCTGCTGCTCTGGTTCAGTTTTCCATCCGTCCCCTCAAGGGCATCACACACTTGAAAGGTGCTACATGCCTGTTCTCCCGGTGAGCTCCTGGGGGTGTCTTTCATGTGTAAAGCAAATCCATCTCAGCTCTGAATCACAGCCTCGCACTCTCCTTCCCCAGTCCCTGCCTTTCAGCGAGGCCAATGTGCATGTCCCAAGGTGGTTCTTCAGATCCTGCATTTAGGTGGCTTTGGGCTGAACGTTTAGATGAGCTGTTTGAAGGGTTAGTTGTTAAGATGCAGCTGCATAAATACAGCTCCTCATTTCTCCTTTCTTCGTACAGGAAAACATCAGCGCCTGAGGAGAGCTGCTGCCCCTCTGACCCATTTAGAGGGGAGAGCAGGAGCTTTCTGCCCTGCCTTCTTTTTGCCTCCTTGTGCAGTGCTTGTTTCCTGGGAGAAAAACAGCAGATCAGGATTGCTCCATCATGTTCCCTGCATGTTTTGAGAGGCTCCTTACAGGATTCACTGCACTGTTCCACCTTATTCATCTGAATAGCCGTAGGATGCTTCAAGTTCCTTCGACCCCTCAAAAGGAAGAAGCTTTGCCTGCAATTTACCATCCCTGCTAGGAGAAAAGCCACAAACCAAACGCTTCTGAGCTGCTCTGGAGCTTGTGAGCTGTGCCCTTGGTGCAAATCACACCATCAGCTCAGCGAGGGCTTCTGAAGCCTCCTGATGTTGTGTGAAAGGAAGTCCCATGACCAAGCTCTGCTGCACAGCAGCCCTCACTGTGCTGCCCATGCTCTGCTCCCTGACCATGCTTCCCAGCTCATCTGCAGCAGCTTTAACACCAAAATCCTGATGGGAAAATCCTTCACCTCTTACTACATCCTTACTCCATATTCTACATAAAAGATTTCCAAACCCAACTGGATAGGAGCATTTCCAGTACCACTGATGAAGATAATAGCTCATACTTTGCCACGGATTCTTATTACCCTCCCACTCCTCTCCCCTTAATGACAAACTCAAGGTATGACCTTGGTTTGTGTCTGTGCAGCATCTTCCATAGTGTGGGCTGGGACTGGCCTTGTGGATGCTGCTGCTGCACCAGTAGCACTGGGAGCTGTATCCCACCACTTTGGTTGCAAAAACCACTTCACCCCTCCAGTGCCAGGAACGACGAGGAACAGCTGAAAACCAACAGTTTAAAGGGTTTCACTTGGCCAGAGTGAAGTTTCCCTTTACTTTGTAATCTGTTCTTCAGAGAGAGCACTCAGGCACTAAAATCATTGACTAAAATGGCTCTTGTTTGTCCTCCTGGAAGTGACCTGAAAAGATGTGTTCATCAATTCACCCCTAATACCACTGGACCACTGCCGGAACAGCATTTAACCTGAAATCCTGACTTGCATACAAAACCAGAGGGAGGATAAGCCAAGCAACTTGTCAATGTTACACAATAACTGCCTTTAACTGCAGAAATTACTTAAAGGCCTTGGAAGTCCACTGGAATGGCACAAGCGTTTGCTTGCACTCAGCATTCCAAGCCCAGCCAGAACTGGAATACATCACATCATCTTCCTGCCCCTATCCTGCTCTTCCCATCTTTAGAGTTGGGGTGTGAAAGGCTTTATGACCCCCTTTAGGGTCAGTCCAAAACAATCCAGACAAGGTCTTTATTGTCAGCCAAAGAGCATTGGCCGACAGACACCATTTATGGCTGTGCTTGTGTGCTAAGAGCAGCTCTGGCATTGGGACCATGGAATCGTAGGTGCCTGGGATGCTCCCCGAGGCCAACCCCATCCTGGTTGGAGATGTTTGCTCTGGGGACTGAGCACGTCCAGGCTGGAAGAACCCTCTCTCAGCCACCCACATAATCCATTGCTCCCAACGGGAATGACTCAACCGGTAAGACCCAAGTGACAGCGCTGTTGTCCAATGGATGCATTGAGATGCATTACTCATGCCGGGAGCAGGCGGTGCCGGGGGATCGCGCCCTGAGGGCAGCAGTCACCTAGCAACTCGGCGAGGCTCTGCCTGTGCTCACCGGCTCTCCTGGAGCATCTTTCACAGCAGGGATGTGGCCTTTCAAGTGAATGCTAGAGACCAATAGGAAAAGGAATAGTTTGGGTCCTGTTTCGGGGTGAATTTGTGTTTCTTAGGGGTTATTGCTAAGCTAAGGTGATGCTGGGAGGAAGAGTGAGGTTTGGGCAGCATCTCTGCTTCCCGTAGCTTAAAGAGGCAGAACTGCACAGGGAGGTACAGCTCTAAGGCAGGACTGAGCCTGCCTTTGCAAAGTGCCCCTGTGCATAATAACTTCAGATGTGGATGATCCTGCGTGGGGAGTGCTGCAAGGACCATCAGCATGGCAGGGCTGAGGGGAAGGGGGAAAAGAGACCTGGGAGCCACAGGGATGGCTGTGCAGGGCTACTGCAGCATGTTCCATCACCTCACTTCTTTCAAAGCACAAGCACTGTTCTTGAGGTGCCACAGATGAGAGGGAAAGCAAAGGCAAGCACCTGGTTCCTCTGACCCTGCCTCATCCCAGGTAGTGGTTTCCCAGCTCTGATTCAAGTCCAAAGCTCTCCTGACCCAGCAGCCCGCTAGCAGCTTCAGCTGGTCCTTTTGTCCACAAAGAGCCCTCAGCATCTTTGGGAGACAAAGGTGAAGATCCCAGCTCTTGGGTTTGGGAGATGCTGTCTGCAGTGCTCCTCTGCACAAGGTAAATGAGGTATCTCTGGACACAGGTGCTGCATTAGCCATGTGTTTGCAGCAGGGTTAAGTGCAGGGCTCAGAACTTGCCCAAGGGCCTGATAGAGGCACATGCCAAGCCCCCATCATTGCAGCCCCCCCAGGCAAAGCTCCCACCATAGGATAACCATCCCTGCCAGCTACCTCGCTCCCAGCACATTCCAACGCTC